GAATATCCCAAGTATTTCTAGATTATGTTTGAGTTTTCCTTTAATCTCTAAAACTTGCAATGAAATGTGCAGTGAAAAATACTAACCAAAATATTACTCAGTAATAGGTAAATGAGAATGACTTTACCATGCATTTTTGATAATGAGATTTCAAATAATACTAGAGAACATCATTTTTGGATGTTAGCTGGAGGGAGCTCCTATCTGATGTGCTCCTGAAACAACAAGGCTATTTTAAAGAACGAAATAACTTCTTTGTTTAATAATACAGACAATGCGTAATAGCTATTGGAATTACCGGACCACAATGAGTTAAGACTGAAACATCTATTTATTCAGAAAAAGCTAGTAAACACACCACACACACCACTTTAAAAAAATGGAGCTCTTAATAGTTTTGCTAATAGATTTACTCTCCGTAAATTTAATCTCCACTACAACAAACATCTTTATTTTTTTATTTGCTATAGGGAATCACAATTGGTCCTCTGGTCAGGTACTTGGATGTTAAAAAGACCAATAAAAAAGAATCTATCAATGAAGAGCTTCATATCCGTGTAAGTTTCTCTATCGTAATTTCTCATGTTTAGGTTCCCTGTTTGTCAGTTGTGGGAGTAACCCAGAGCTTTGGTGAAATGTATCTTTCTGGGGCTAGACTTACTGCCTCCTTCCTTCCCAGCTTCCCAAACCCACGCAGCTACCAACAACAAGGCACAATGCAGGTGTATCCGCAATGCAGGTATCTCTTGTGCAGATATCTGCACCATGCAGATATCCCAGGTTGGTAGGTGACTATACTGGTGTCTTGCTGCTGCTGTCAAAAACGACCACTTTCTTAAAACAACAAAGTTAATTGTCTGACAGTTCTGTTGGGTAAAAGTCCAGCTATATTTATTGGACTAAAACCCAGGTGTCAGCAGGGCTACATTCCTTTTTGGAGGCTCCAGGGAAGACACGGTTTCCTTGCCTTTCCCAGTTGCTAAAGGCCACCCATAGTCTTTGGTTCATGGTCCCGTGTCTTCTTCAAGACCAGGTAGGGCTGGTCCAGTCTTTCTCACGTTCTGTCATGCTGACATTGACTATTCTGCCTTCCTGGTCCATATTTAAGGACACTCAGTGCTGGTAGGTTAGTGGGTTACACATTGGGCTGCTGACTGCAAGGTCAGCAGTTTGAAGCCACCATCTGCTTTGTGGGATAAAGATGACGCTTTCTACTCTTTTAAGGATTTACGGTCTCAGGAACCCATAGAGACAGTTCTATCCTGTCCTATAGAGTTGCTATGAATTAGAATCAACTTGGTGGCAGTGAGCTGTTGCTATTGCTGTTGATGATTATGAAATCATCCAGATTACACTGGACTCACCGGAATACTCAAAAATACTCTCCCTATCTCAAACCCAACAAATTATCAATGCTAATTCCATATGCTCTCTTCTTTTTTAACATTGGAATTCGGCTGGGTTAACCAGAGAAACAAATCTAGTTAGACTCATAAGAAAAAGCTTTATATAAAGAAGTAATTATATATCAAGAAAACATCCCAGTCCAGTCCAACTCAAGTCCATAAGACTGATACCAGTTCCTAAGTCTGCCTCCAAACCCATGCAGTTACAAGCAATAAGGCACTATGCAGGTATCCACAATGCAGGTATCCCTTGTGCAGATATCTGCACAATGCAGATATCCCAGGTTGGTAGGTGCAAAGTCGAGAAGATCCAATAGCAGTGGACACATCACAGGACTCTGGCAGCAACCAGGGTCTGCTAGCAGGAAGATGAAGACAGAGAGCGAAGGGGAGGTTCCCAGGGCTCTCCTTATGAGCAGGCCATGCCCACCAGGAGGCACCTTGAGGCTGCAACCTGATTGACAGGTTGAATACCACCCCCTACACTTTTTTATATCTTCAGGTTGACGTGAAATTATGTAACTACCACATTTGGCCTAACAATTTGCCTTCTGGTCACCAAGGATTCATATCTACCCCAAAGAAAAAAATGCATTAATTCTTCTTCAGCATCATCAAAAGTCTCAACCCATTACATCATCAACTCAAACTTAGAAATCACACCTAAATCTTATGAATTCAAAAGTTTCTAGTCTTGTCATCAGCTAACATATGCCTGAGTGAGGCTGAACAAAATTCCTCTATTTCTATGAACCTATGAAGCGCAAGAAACAAGTTATCTTCTCCCCAAATACCATGGGGCAGGCAGAACATAACAGTTACAAGTATTTCCTTTGGGGCAGGAAGGAAAATGTCAGGGGAAAAGGGGGAATAATGAGCCACAACCAATTTCAAAGTCTAGTTGGGCAAACTCCATTTGGTTTCAAGACCGGGACTAATTCTCTGTGCTTCTTTGTTTCATCCATCAAGGTCTCAGCTCCATCTGCATATTTCCTTTTATGAGAAAGGTAGCAACTCTTTGCAGCCCAGTTGCTTTCTTAGCCTGTTTCTTACCACTGGGATTTTGGGGTTGTCACAGTCTTTCATTTTGTTCTTTTTCTGTCCCTTTTGATATAAGTGCTTCCAGTTCATTTGGAGAAGCAGAGTCAGTAGGAGATGTACATTAAGAGATTAGTAGCAAAGAATCGGAGTGCTCTAGAAAAGGTAGAGCGGACCACGCAGAAATGCATTCCAACACTTCTACCAATAGGCAGCTTTCTTCTTCATCAGGAAAGGCTCCACTATGTTCTTAAGGCCGTTCAACTGATTGGATCAGACATTCTTCGATTATCTAGGATAATTTCATTTACCTAAAAACTTTATGCACATCTACAGAAGACCTTTAAAGCAATACTGGAATTTTGGAAGGTAGAAAAACTTGGATACTGTATCTTGGTGAGGTTAATAATTTAAAAGATCGTCAATCACCATTTTGAAATGTTCAAATCTACTCGAAATTTCTAAAAAGGATCTCTGGTGGCATAGTGGTTGCCCTTTCGTCTACTAACTCCAAGGCCAGCAGTTCAAAACTGCCAGTCACTCATAGTAGAAAGATGGGTTTTTTTTATGCCTGTAAAGAGTTACAGCCTTGGAAACTCATAGAAGCAGATCTACCTTGTCCTATAGCATCACTATGAGTTGGAATTGACTTGATATCAGTGGTTTTTGTTTTATTTTCAAAAAACATTGTTCAATGGCATATGAGGGCACCTCTTTCTGAACTTTTAATAGGTAAGGTATGCTATTACTTTTCCAGACAGGAGATAGTGACAAGTTTTGGCTAAAACAACCCATAACAATAAACTTGAGTGTGGGCTCTACTTGCTAGTTTCAATTCAACAGGATGTTTGAAGGGATGCCCTTCTGTATCAAATGAAAAACCCTAACCATTGTGGGCAGTTCAATTCCAATTCATAGTTGCCCTACAAGACCAAGTAGAACTGTGCCGCAGGCTTTCCAAAGCTCTAATCTGTACGGCAATGGACCGCCATTGTGTCTCTCCCAGGGAGCGGCTGGTGGTTTGAACTGCTAGCCTTCGGGTTAGCAGCCCAGCACTTAACTACTGCAGCACCAAGCCTCTTCCCACTTTGTATAGCTTTAAGAAATAGAAACATAAACCAATATATGGAAGATACAGTAAAAATTTAACTCAGTAAATGAAAGAGACTCTAATTTTGAGATGTCCATGTTGAAATGAATTTCCTAAGCAGTGCTTGGGGAACACGGCTCTGCAGAAGAGCTGGAAGGGAAATTCAAGTTGGGAGGAGATGATTGACCTAGATATTTTTTAGGTTTCTTCTATCCCTCAGAGCCCACAATTCTAATACTGGAGAAATTGATGAAGCTTTCCAAAATCAGCCCTGAGGTTGAAGGCCAGTCATCGGAGGAAATAAAGCAATTTAAATTCCAGGAAAATGTTTTCAAAGCCATTTGAAATACCAAACATATGAGGATAGGAAGGGACAGTGTTAAAAATGAATTGCCTTAGTCTCATTCTAGACTTCTGTCAATGTCTTTATCTTTTCTGATACATTATTTTGAGAAAGTAGATGAAATAATCCAGGACAATAGGCTCTATCTGTTTCTTTTGTCATTTCTCCCTCCCCCCTCAATCAGTGAATATGATATTTATTTGTAGAAGACAGAATCAGTTAAGGATTTAATCATTAATTTATCATTTTACTTGGTTTTGTAAATAGTAGGAATATAATATAGGCTTTAATAACAATAAATTTAAATATGTGGAGACTAGTTCATAATTATTTTGAATAGATTATGCTTTATCCTAATTTTTACAAAATATCTTACATCAAACAAATATAATATTGACTTGGAGGGTGAAATACAGTTACTTAATCTAAATATTAGGTTATTAATGGGTTATACAGACAGGTTTAGTTATGTTATTATATTAGAATACCTATAGAATTTTAATTTTTAAAACTGGTAAGTCGAATATTGGTATGTACTTTTCTTTTGCAAAATAATTAAAACTAATTGTTAATTATTAAGCTTTCATTAATGTGATTTTGTTCATGAGAAATTTCCTAGATCATTCTAGTAAAATATTATACAAAGCAAGTGGCAGGTACCCTGTTTTCATAGCAAATTATGTGCGTTATCAAGAAAGTTATCAGTAGAGTCTTTGAATCATGAAACTAAGTAGCATTACTATGCAAGACATTACATAGCTCAGTTCCCTGACATGACTAGTAGAAAGAGAATATGCTCCGAGATATTAAGGTTTCCTTTATTTTCCCAAATTGTATTCACTTTCCTTCTATGTCTTTCAGAGTTAACATTTCACCAGCAATCATTTTCTTGTGTTTGGTTTGGCAGTTGATGGATCATTTGAAAGCTGGAATTGAAGATGTGTGTGGGCAATGGAGCCACTACCAAGTGAGAGACAAGTAAGGAAGCTACGGATTTCGTTACCTGGGAAAGAATATTTGTGGCATGGAAAATCTCCAAAGGTTACATTGGAGCTAGAGGTGAAAATTAGAAAGAATCTGGAGGAACAGGATTAGGAAGATAAAAGTTTTGGGAACCATGCTATATGAACAGATTATTGGAAGTCCTGGGAATTCTTAACCTGGAAAACAAAGAGCTGTCTGGAGGAGGAAGCTATTGACTTGCTATGTGTAGGTTGCTTTAGAAGGAAGCAGTACAACTTTCGGATGGAACTCGAAGATAGAGAGTTTGAAACAATGAAAAGGCTTCCAGTAATAAGAACAACGTAGCTATGGAATAAAAGGTGTTTTCATTATCTGGCTCTGAGAGTCTCATTGAGCCTGGAGAAGGAGAGTGCTTTGTAGTTCTAGTCACTTGTTGGAGAATATGACATGAAGAAACAGTTGAAGTAGCCAAGCCGAGGATGTTTTCTCTCTGGGTTTGCCTTCCTTGCCTCCCAGCTCCCAAACATGTGGATATGGATGGTGCAAGAAGTCTTTATGCTGTTCAAATGCACAACCTGGATTTGAATTCAACTCTTACTTTAAAATCTCTTTCCTTCAAAGGGAACCATAGTAGTTTTAGACCCTAAGCATAATAGGCTAGTGGAAGGGGTACCGAGAGGTTTCTGAGACAGACAGTGAACTTGGTGGAGTCATGTTGAGAAAAGAGAAAATAAGAATGACTCTCAGTCTTCCAGATTGGGAGCCAATGCAGGAGCAAATACCGCGATTAAACATATAGATTATAAATTATATATACAATACATAACATATAATATATAAATTATAGAAGAATGTTGAGAGAATAATTAATTGATGCCATTTAAGGTATTTTTCAAATACATGCTTAGATAGCATGAGCATTTAGTCTGAGGTTCTCATTTGTGAATAGCCCATCACTGAATTCATGCATTGGTGAATCACTACCCGGGTGGGGACAGTGGCAGCTGACTGAGAACAGAACTCTGAGAAGCTCTTGTTCATATGACACAGATAAGAGAGATGGAAAGGCAGAGGAGACTGAAAAAAAACGGGTCAGAGAGACTGGAAGGACAAGAGGAGTCAATCAGATGTGGAGGACATGAAGCAATGACCCAGGGCATCTAGAAGCACAAGGTAGTTAGTAAGAGCACCAGTGACCGATGGGTGTGACTATTAGATACACACGAAGTAATAACATTTGCTATTGAGTTGGTTTTGATTCATCAGGACCGATGTGTCACGGTAGAACTTCTCCATAGGGTTTCGATGGATGACTTTCCAGAAGTGGATCGCCGTGGGGCCACTGGGTGCGTTGCAAACGCTAGCCTTTTCATTAGCAGCAGAGCTCCTTTACCATAGGGACTACCTGGCAGGAAACCTATTTCTGTTGAGCTGATTCCAGTCCATGGCAATCAGATAGAACAGAGTGGAACTGCCAGTGCAGGCTGTCTCAGGTTGGAATCTTTAGGGAAGCAGGCTGCCCACAGAGAACCTGGAACCCCCGACCTGTTGATCAGCAGTCAAGTGCTTAACCATCGCTCCCCCAGGGCTCTTTTGCACAACCTACAAACTCCTGTTGTGCAGCTCAAAGGGACCTTTATAAGAGGGCTGTCTGAGCCGTGAAGGGTAGGAAGCTGAGGACAGTGGGTTAAAGCACAAAGAGAAACGATATCTTAAGGCAGCAGAGCAGAAAAGGCTGCAGAGCAACTCAGGGCAAGAACAGGCATGGTAGGTGTCAAACACAAATCCCCAGGATCAGGGACTCACAGACGGTGTGAATCACACCTGGAGGGGACTGAATTGATAAGGAGTCGAACTGGTCCAAGGTCTGGGAAACCAATCAAAAGATAATAAGCCAGCAGTCCAGGAAGTTAGGCTCCCTTCCCGAAAATCAATCAGGCAGACAGACTCCTCTCTGAATGTAACATGATTGAAAGGGTTGGAAATTCGTGCACCAAGCGAATGGCAGACTCTGGGGGCGGCCACGTGCCTACGTGCAGCTCAGTCTCTAATGGGTCGGCCCGAGAACAGGACAATAGCCAGCCTCCATCCGTGTCTAGCCTATTCAGTATCTCTGTCATTTAGACTGTTGGGACATATGTGGCCTTTTCTTGTTTTGTTGTGTTGTGTTGTGTTTTGCATTTCCCCCCTTAATTGGCAGGATTCAAACCGATCTGCAGCATAATGGGGCAAAACTACTGTAACTCCCGGACCATTTAAACTTAGTGGGTTCTAGCTGAATAGGCCGGCATTACTGTAAGTGCAGCTGCCGCTGTTATGAGCTATTAGAATGGAACACTTGTTCAAAAGCCTCACACCCCCCCACCCCCATTTCGTCTTACAATTGATGCTGAGCTCGGCTGTGCCGCCCCGCTCCCTTCTGACGCACCCGCTTTGCCCTGATTGCAGCTTGTCCCTTCCTTTTGTTTGGTTGATTTTCAATGCGGGTAGGCTGGTAGGCCAGTCTTTTTTCACGTTTTAAAAAGTACACATACTATGACATATTTTTAAAATTATGTCCAGTCATTGCCCTTGTGTTTTTCAGAATAAAGGCAAGTAGATTGTTATTTTTAAGAAAAATGTCTACTTATCTAACAGCATGGGCAGAGATGAGGGATTTTTTAAAATGTCACTTTTCCTTTTCAGGTTTAAGAAATTCGATCATAGATATTTACGAAAAATCCTAATCCGAAGGAATCAGCCCAAATCAAGCATCGTGTCCTTGTACAAGAAGCTGGAAATGAAACAAGCCATTGAGATGGTAGAGACTGGGATACTCAGTTCCACGGCATTCTCGATACCCAACCAGTAAGTCCTGTCTGCTTTTTGATCCAGACTTTGAGTTTGATTCCCAAAGGGGACTAGCCCATGATGACATTTGAAGGTCAGACTGGGAGGGAAGAGGCAGAAATAGGAAGAAGGAATCCTGAAATAAGGGTTCTTATTGAGACTTGGCCCAGACCCAACATGTTTCTAACCTACTGTCTGAAAATTCTTTCCTAGCAAAAGTTATCTATTTATTGATTGTCTTATGACGCCTTTCATGGGTCAAGGGGACAAGTGAATTATGGAATGGTAAGATATTTTATAAGCCTTTCTCTTTCTCCTTCTGCCTAAAATCCTTATTCTTCAGAGTACCAATTCTTTGGGGGCATTTCTGATCTTTTATTTCTTCTAACTTTTCTTCCTTTTATAACCACTGATCTATAGATCTGATGGGTCAGGAATCTGGAGAGATGTTCTGCAGATTTTGAGGATCCTGCTGTTACATTTTTTCCCTCTATTACGTCATTTCATGAGGAGAGACAGGGTCAGCCTCCTCTGATGCTAACTTGGATTTGAAGATGAGTGGCAGTAGTGAAGAGTTTCTGGATGGAAGTTAAGGGCTGGGGTGCTAACTGAAAGGCTGGTGGTTTGAATCCACCCAGAGGAGCCTGGGAAGAAAAGATCTGGTGGTCTGCTTCCAAAAAGTCGAAGGAGTGCAATTCTACTCTACAACATATGGGATCCCCCTGTTTTGTTCTAGGTAGTAGCAAGGGGTGTTATTTGGTGGGCAACTTCAAAAGGAAACTGTTTTTGGTAATTTCGTCTACAGTACGGGTTGGTGTGAACCTTAACCTGCGTCAATGTGAGTGAAGAGGCACCCTGCTGAGTTGGAGTGGAAGTGAGGGACATAGTTAGAGAAGATACCAGTCTATAACTCCATCATTATACAATAGTTTCCCTGTAGAGCTTGGCACTGCTCTGAGAGCATCTATATACTAATTGTCCAGAAAATTAGCTAGGTAAGTTTTAAAGCTGTCTCAGCTCTCCCAGGGTACTTGGTCTGACATTTAGCAAAATACTTCTTCAAAGTCATAGGAAGTAATTTACCTCCCAAAGATGCCCCGTTTTCTTCCAGGAATTGATTGATGAATTGGGGGACATCATCACAGCATACTATATTTCGGAGAAGGCACCCTCACCTCCATCCATCCTGTCATGTTTAACAGATAAAAACATGTGGTCATGAGCTTCCCTTAGGCCCTCACCTTTAATAAAGAAGCTGAGATCGGAGCTAAGAATGGGTAGCACTGAAGTTGACACTAATGTCTGAGTGTTATTTCGGAGATAACACCTTCATCCCTTACCTGTTAATGAATCAGAAACACCCTCACCTTTCTTACATGACCTGGGAAAATCTGAGCATCCAAAGAAGACTCCCTGAGGGAACCGAGGTATAAAGAGAAAAATGTCTTCCTTATTTCTCAGCCAAGTTGTTTGTGTTTGTTTGTTTTAGTGCTTCCCATTACATGGCTTTAAGGAAACGGCTGACACTAAAATGGGACTGTGTTGATACACATTTATTGGCAATGCCATGCTTAGATGAGAGCCTGAGGCAGAAGAAAAATTCAGTAATATCAATCTTGTCTTTACTTAAAATGTAGATATTTTATTCATTGTTGATTTTTGCATGAATATTTTATCTAGTATTGAATGAAAACATTCTTTATCTTGAGTATTCGTTTTTTTGGCCACCCCTTACATTGTGTGCTGAGAGTGAGTGTCTCACTTACTTGATTTTAGACCCAGCACTCCTTCTTGGACTACTGTTACGTGCCAGAGGAGCCCCGGTGGCGGGCTGGGGCTTAGGCACGGGGCTGCAGATCACACAGGAGTCCAGTCACTATCAGCTGCGTGGGAGAAAGTAGAGGCTGTCTGCTCCTATAAGGAGCCTATATTGCATTGCTGTTTGGAAATAACTCTATGGCAGTGGATTTGATTTGGTTGGTTTCTTTATCACAAGCACTGTGGACACAGACACAGTCCCTGACACCCTGGAGATAATACTCTAACAGGGTCAAAGTCATTACCAAATTGCCGCCTAAGCATACGATCATACAGAACAGGGAGCTAGCAAGTCCAACACAAAGTGTAAGAGGTGAGCATCATCTGGGCCCCCAAATTTTATCTGCTCACCCAAGGATGAACTGGAACTACCTGGGTACTGTAGAGCTAGCTGGATGCTGTCCAGGTTCTGACTGTTTAGGACATTAGGGACTTCCTGGATTGGATAGCTTACTGGTTATGTGAATAGTTGATGCAGATACGTAGAAGTATTTATCTTAAGTGAGAATCAGTCTATCATGTGGTTAAACATATTATGAATCTTGGCATTAGATTACATAAGTCATAGAAGTTGCCCAGTTTCTGACCTCAAGTCAATTTTTAAACCAGCTTTATTAGGAAGGGGTCACCTTGCTTAGTCCATTAGTTTTCAGCCACAGATTCAAGATTAGCAAGAGAATCTTCTAGAGATGAGATTTTCTTCCTTCAATTGCCAAAACCAGTGAGTTAATTTAGCTGGGAGAGGGGATTTCTAAAAGCTGATGTTTAATACGAGGTTAGCATTTAAACTTATTTGATCTTGACAGAAATCTGTAGGACATCTAGCGAAAAGGAATTCCTCTCCTAACATCAAAGTCACTAACGTTTTCAACAACATACTTTCATACAATAAGAGGAAAAAGAAGTGTGTACTTAGTTCGCTTTTTATTGTTGTGTCTGAGATGATAACAGCAAAGCACACATTAATTTTTTTCCTTCAGAAATTGAGGCAATTGTTTTTTGAAGGGGTTTAAGTTTCCAAAACCCCGTGTGTTTTAGGAGAGTGAGTCCCAGAAGCTGTAGACAGCACAGTGCAGATGATGTTCAAACCCATGGTCTTTATGGGTCTTCTCTTATTTGACCCTCGGACCAACCCTGAGAAATTGGTAGAGTATGCACTTTGATTCGCACTTTAAATCTAAGGCATTCTATCTGGCCAGGGAGTGGTCAGCGTTTATAAATGTCAGATAAAAGAGACTCAAACGGATTACAAGTGTTGACATTACAAATAGTGATGGATCCCACGTAGGAGCATATTCACAAGAGGAAAATGCATAGAGCAGAAAGGCATTTGTGAGTCTCTGGAGTGGGGGGGCAGGGGATAGTGGGAAATGGGGATTATTGCTAAAGGGCCCTGGGTTTCTGTTTAGAGACATAAAAACCTTTTGGAAATGGAAAGTGGCGATGATAGTACAACCTAGCAAAAATAGCTGATGTGATGAATTGTTACCTAAAAACAGCAAAAATGGCAAATTTTAACTAGATATATTTGGCTCCAGTAAAGCTAAAATTAAAAGCATTAGTGCTTAAACATTTTTATTAATATCAAAGGGATACTAAATACTTATAAAATGATGCATAAGAAGTTATATTTCATTCAAAATATATTTCAAACTTCCTGATAATTTTACCATGTCATTTTAAAAGTAGTGTGAAGTACACATAGAACATTTTAATTGACCACCTGGTGACCGCTATTAGTCTAAATTTATACATTCTTATACTGAAGACCCTGGAACTCTGAGCTGAGCATCATTTCCTTTCTGCACTGGAACTATGTATGTCATGGGGAGAAGTGACGTCATCTCTCCTGCTCTTCAGTCATTCTAAATGGGGTCATTTCGGGGCCCTCCCCATAAAGACACGGGCTACCCATCCACAGAGAACAGATCCTAAGCCGTTATCTAAGCAATTCAAAGAGAGGGTTCTTCGAAATGAGTTGGGGTGTAACATGTGATCTCTGGAGGATGCATACTGTGGCACAAATAAACCATCTTTTCCATTACGGATTTCAAAATGTGTTTAGGTGTGAAGTTTCTTTTCCCATTATTATCACATTGGACAAAACAAGAGGTCTCTGAGCCTGTTATTCAAAGTTGTTTAGATTCAAATGCTCCCAGTTTGATGTTCATAGTCATAAAATTATGAGAGAGTTTTTTTGAAAGAGATTTCTTTTTTTCTGAATGTTCCAACAACGAAATTCTTTTCATTCCCAATTTCATTTTTGTGGCCTAATAATTATGACCGATTTAATTTTTCAAAGATTTTATCATCCCTATACGAATAGTTCTGAGGTGAAATGAGAAGACGGTGCCTGGAGCGCTCCATGCGGCTGAGGGGAGAGCCTGGTGGAGCGCTCCTGGGGTCTCCTGCACCGTGCTCACCAGTCCTCTGCGTCATTTCACGCCATAGCTTCTCAGTGTGGATCAGTGGAAGACAATGGTTTGGGAATTTTAGTATTATTATCGCCAGACAGTAGCTAGGAGAAGTTAAATCTCCTTCCTAAAGTCCTGTTCCTTCAGAAAGTCACCGATTACAAATCAGGGAGTGCACCATTAGTGCACGTTATCAAGTTAGTTAAACTTCAAGTTTAACTTTGCCTCCTTGGCTTGCCTCTTTGGTAGTTTCATTATAAACACAGACAGAGGAACCATTTGTTCAGCTGTTTCTCTTAGCAGTAGAATACACTAGAGGTGTGCCCAGATTGTGAGTGTTTGGGGGTGGGCTGAGGTAGAGGGGTGTATTTAATAAGAATACATTTTATTTGTAAGACATTTAAACAGTTAGGTTGAAATACCCTAGCGACATTTAGATCACCCAGGGTGGTAATAAAATATTAATAGGAGTGATTTTTGTAGCACTGAAGCATGGAAATTCTGATTTGAGTAATTTTTTAGAGTGGTATTAATCAGCCTATAGATAGCATTGCAAAATAAAATTCAGACATAACTTGATATCCATTATCCAAGCTCTTAAAAATCCCTTGCAATCATATATTACTTGAATAACTCCTTACTATTCATGGCTATGTTTTGCTAATGTTTAGAAAAACATATTTTAAAACATGATCTATATTGAAACTAATGATAATTCACCTCTGTGATCAATTATACAAAAACCTTTGATAAACGGGTACTAAATCCATCAGTAGTTCCCTTCTGCAAGAAGAAGGGTTGTTGTGTGTGTAGGGGGAGCAGGGGGAAATGGGGGTAGCTCTGAAAGAATTTATGTTAAGATGTTAATAGAGGAGATAGTATTTTTTAAAATTAAAAAAACTAAGTCCTTTGCTGTCAAGTAGATCCTGACTTAAAGCTCCCTATAGGAAAGGGTAGAACTGCCTGATAGGGTTTCTAAGGCGGTAATCTTTATGGTTGATTATGTGGACTGCCACATTTTTCTCCCTCCGACAAACTCGTGAGTTTGAACCACTCATATTTGGGTTACAGTTGAGTGCTTAACCACCGTGGCTCCTTGATAATATTCAAAGGAGGAGTTAATTTGCTACTTTTTGTTCAGATTTTCTACCCAGGACAAACACAGAACCCTACTGCCATCAAGTTGATCATAATTCCCAGCAACGCCAAGATTATATATCTTTATAGGAGCGGGTAGCCACATCTGTCTCCCTCAGAGGATCTAGTGAACTTGAACCACCACCCTTGTAATTAGCAGTCCAATGCATACCTGGCAGTACCACTAGAGCTCTTTAATTTTCTGCAGTGAATATATATTATTTCTGTAACAAAAAGTTGTGTTGCTGTCGTTAACTGTCAAGTTTGAATCAAACACATTAGTCACATGAGAATTTTGAACTTGACCAATGCCATGACTCTGAACTGTCCAAGGGCAGTGGTGCTCTGGCTACATTTTGCGCACCTCCGAGGAGCTTGTGCGAAAGAAATGGTGTGGAGGGCGGCGGGGCTGCAGTGATGAGTGGCCTCCTGCTTCTAAAATGTCATAAACAGGGCTCATTGCTTGAACCGGAACAGGTTCCTCTGGCGAAAATGACCCACTTCTCTTGGTAAACATGACTCTAGTTTGTTACAATTGTTTTTTAAAGATACAATCTCTAAAAGGAAAAATTCCAAGATAAATGTAGTCATAAAATTTTTAACGTTTCCTTGGATCGGTGGTACTTAAAATGTACTGGGTAGAATAGTGTTGATGAGTGATAGGTTTGTTACCTGTTTGCAGTCAAGAAGCGAGAGTAGGCTTTTGGCTAAGCCATTGTATTCCTTTTGATTTTGCATTTGCTTTGTATTTTACTGTATCTTTCCATTTTTAATAATTGATTTGTATTATTTTACAAAAATGTGTCAGTGAATGACAAACTTGAGGGAAGAAAACAGCAGGTCTTTTTTACCAACTTAAACCCTTTTTAAAAAACGACTTAGCAACTAAGTCCACATGGAAGAAGCAGGCCATCGTCAGTCACCAAAGGATTGTGAGTCACATAATCCGAAGTCAAAGGAGGGATTAGTATCAGAGTCCAAATTGTGAGAATCTGATTTTCAGAAGACGATGGACAACAGTGGGGCTCAAGATACGTTTGTGGGAACTACATAGGAAATAAGCCACCGGTGATCTCCGTCTCTTCATACGTGAGGGATGAGAGGAAAGTGGTTACTACACAGAGTCCACTGGAGAGATGAGTGTAGAAGATCAAAGGGCTAAACCTGACTTGAACAGTCAAAATCTTGTCAGTTGATCCCTCCTTTGATGCACGCTGGACCTGATCCGTTTTTCACAATTTTCTGTATACTTGTTTTGTTATACATTTTTTTCATATTAGGGTTTGTTTCAGATCTAGAGCAACTCATGTATAAGAGAGAGTTTTATATAAAAGTTAAGTGTGCATCAAGAAAACATCCCAACCCAGTGCTGCCCAAGCCTACAAGTCCAACATTAACCAATTAATCCATATGTTCAATTCCAATCCACAAAGTCCTCCTCCATCTCACAAAACAGACACAATTATGCCAACTGCAGGAGGAAAGCCAAGTCATTGAATGTGTAAAGCATCCCAGCGCTGGCAGGGGTCTCTACACAGGTGCTCCAGCACCCAGGCCTGCATCGGGGTAGGTCCATGTGGCTTCTCCTTGGGGATGTTTTGCAGGAAGTCAGCCTTGCCAGCTGAAGCAGCAACTGGCTAAGGCAGCTGCACCCTGGTCCAACCATCAGAAAGCAAGAGACCCGAGAACTCGAAAGGCGAAGCTTACTGAGTCATTTATCCTCCCACCCTTCATTTAATCCCACATGTGTTTATCGGCCAGGTTGGCACAATAAACTAACTAACTCAGTATATTTACATGTTAAGAATTAGGTAGCAGGAAGACATTGGACCACAACTCAAGTCGTCCCTCAATGCAAGAACACTTGGTTCTAATAACCTGGCATTCTATGATGCTCACCTTGCCGACATTAGGTCACTTTCTTAAAGTTGTGTAATGTCTTTCTGTTTTCTGGCATATGAAACGCAGGATTGATGAAGACTTTATAGGGACAGCAAGTAGAATAAGGGTTTTGGGGTGACACAATGGTGGTGGTGGGGAGGGGATAAAGGCAGATGATGTCAAGGAGTCCAGGAAGGAAAAGAATGTTGAAAACTGTGGTAGCAATTGTATAATACAGCTTGACATGATTGAACTATGGAGTGATATGATATAGAAGGGTGTACCCCACCCACACAAAATGGATTCTTTTTTAAAGCTGTGTTTAAGTGTTTTTACAAAACAACCTTATTTTTGTTAAGTACTCTCCATTACACATAGTACATTTGTCAAATCTGCGATTCCATTCTTGGAAACATTTTTCAAACGTACCTGTTTGAATGGCGGACAGCACCTCCCTTGGATTTTTCTTCACCTTTTCTACATCATCAAATCACCGTCCTTTCATGTCCCTCTTCATTCATGGAAACAAAAAGAAGTCGCATGGAGTGAGGTCAGGTGAATAATGTGTGTGGAGCAAGAGAGGCACGCCAACAAGTGGCACACTGAGATGGCTGCTTGAGCAGGTACATTGTGGTGGCAGCAATGTCAGTCCCCCATCTGCCACAAATCAGGCCCTTTTTTGGCCACACACTGTTATGCAATCTTTTCAGAACCTCTAAATAGAAAGCTTGATTAACGGTCTGACCTGGTACAATGAATTCCAAAGGCACTATCCTCTTCACATCAAACAAACAAAACAACAATAAAAAAAAAAAAGTGAGCCTCGTCTTGATCTTTGATATCACTTGATGAGCTTTTGGGGGGCAAGGTGACAATAGTGTCAACCATTGGCTTGATTGATATTTGCTTTTGGAGTCATAAGAATAGCGCCATGTCTCGTCACCAGTGATGACCGTGGGAAAACATGCTGGGTTGCTTCAGAGCTGTGCTTTCCAAACAAGGCATGTTTCCACCGGACGCTCGTGCTCCTGGTCAGTCAGCACCCGCAGCACAAATTTCACAGCGACTCTTCTCATTCCCAAATCTTCTGTTAATTCCCAAATCCTTCTGGCTGAACGGAGCTCCAAGATAGTCCAGATAACTTCCTCATCTCTTCAGTGGTTGTCGGGCTTCAAGCACAAGTGGACACATTTTGTCAACACTTCCCTCCATTCGGAACATTCATGAGCATCCAGAATGAAGTCTGCCATCCATCAACATTTCACCTTTAGGAAATGAGGAAACCACTTGTACACTTGAATTTTTCCCATAGCTCTGTCCTTTTAAGCTGTGTTCAACATCACAATAGTTTTTGTAGCATTTCTCTTGAGCAGGAAACAACATTTCACAGCTGTGCACTGTTCTTTGAAATCAGCCATCACACAAAAAACAAGATTTGAGCAAAACTACTCTTACAAAAAAATTCACTGTGACCAGGGAGGACCTTCCTAGGTGATGCCACTGGGTGCATTAACTCAGAGCAAGTGGCTCAATGCGAGTCTAGCGGGACAAATGTGTACCATGAAAGCTTTGCTCAGTGGAGGTTTTTTTTCTTCTGTTTTTTGGGGGGATACCCCCTCATATGTATTAACTCTCACTTGATAAATTTTTAAAGGGACTTAGAATAATCCCCACACAAAAAGGTATAGGCTAAGGAACCATGCATGTCATGCTGTAAGTTTAAGTTTGAGGTTTGACTATCATAATATAAGCTAATGTTTTGATATTTCACATAGATTTATTAATGAATTTAATGGATTTTTAATGTAATTTAGTGTGATTTGTTAATGTAATTTAATTTAGCAGATTAATCCATTTTGTATTTTTGTAAAAATACAATTTAATAATGAAAGCAATAAGAAACTATATCAAGACAAGAGCTTTCAAGCTTTAAGTTTCCACACCTCTAGCTCTAATGGAAGAATAATGCCTGGATTCCTTCCAATGATGTTTCCAGGGTCCAGAGGATACAAGGAACCAAAAGGCTTTCCCCCGAAGATGTGGAGTCCATGAAGGACATTCTGACCCACAACATGTACCAAGTTCGACAAAGGGTGCGTAGAAACCACATGCAATATCCCTACTTCCTGTCCTTGGAACCAGTTCTCCAGGAATCAATTTCTGTTTATGTTATCCTTTTTAAGACAGCCTTCCATTTCTCTCTGCTTTGTTTAGAGAACAAACACTCAATTGTTAGGTTTCTGCTGAAAAAAATTAGACCGTGTGGCACAAAAAGAAATGCAAACCCAGTGGCTGGCTCTAGAGGTCAGGCTGCGCTAGCTCGCTCTCCAGCCTGTAATTTCCAGACCTGTCAGGTCCTCCCCTCCCTTCAGACAGACAGGTGGGAAGCCAAACTCAGCCACCAGCACCGCAGACAGAAGATGGCACCGGGGCACTCATGGCAGCCAAGTTGCTTCCAGGTTACTGGCCACGACAGAGTTTAGAAAATTGAAATGGATAAGAGTCCAACATCGAAAAGACAAGTCTTAACACAAAAGAAGCAGGTTATGAAGTGGAAATTAGTCATTGAAACTAGTCTAAAGTAGGTAGGAAGAATATTTCTAAGGGGAAATGTGTGAATCCTTCTGAAACTTTTATTTTCTCAAATAAAATTTAAACTTGTCTTTAAATCAAGTTTAAATCACAAGGTTTTTCAGGCCTGTGGATTAAATTGTCTATCACAATTTCTCAGCATGATTTTAAGTTAATTCACTGTGACCTTGGGTTCAGTGCCTTCGATCATAGACATGGTGAGACAAAGAAATTGGTATAAAAAAACAACAACAACAAAAAAACAGGGAAGTTAGTTACCTCACTGTTCAAGGTCACGGAACAAATTCAGACAGAACAAATTCAGATTAAGAACTTCTATTTCAACCCCTAACCAGTGCTCACACCTATCGAATTCAAAGTGTGTTCGTTGTCTGGCTTCCCATTTCTGAAGAGTCAATGAGCCTCTCTTCCAGCCCAAACCATCGGGGTGGGGTCTGAAGCAGTCATAGCAGGCTCGCAATAAATTCCACGGCAGACGATCGCATTCTGCTGCAGATAAGTAGATCCAAACTTCTCGGTCTGAAAGTCGCCTGCAGTTCCGTGAGGAGGAGGATGATGCAAAGGGCACCCCACACTCAGCCTTTCTCCATGTTGATGAAGGTTATATTCAGGGAAAGGTCCAGAAATGAAGATGAAGATCCTCCACCCAAATATACACTAAGTAAGGTTAATTTCCCATTCTGTATTTTATTCCTTTGGCACAAGGGCCCAGGTGGCCAACTGTTCTTTTCTTTTGTGCTCCTACTCAATCTGCCTTTAGGAGCATCTAAGCTATACAGCATCCGACGTTCTTGTTGTCTCCACGTTTAAACACATAGACTATGTTTAAAGTATTGAATGCTGACCACCGTAGGGAAATGAGGAAAATGTCATTAATAAACAAAAAAAAAGTTAGGGTTTCTGCTTCCTGCCTGCAATTTTATTATGATAAGAGAATGAAGCTCCCCAATCCTTCCCTTATTATCTTTCATTTCTAACCTTTATTTTTTACAAAGGTCATGTGACCCCTCACTTCTGTCATGGTCTACCTACATTTGTGAAGGTAAACTGAACCCAGCAATGTAACTCAATACATCTACTTTGTGGCCAGTGGACCATTTGCAATCCGGGTGCCATTCAGCCTGGGTGAGCGACCACTAGCTTCTCACAGCCCAGGGCTGGCTGTTGGGGCATTTCTCACTGTTTAGCCCCTGGAAAACACCATCTTAAACTTGAGGAGTCAGGACCGTGCCAGGAGGAGCGCAGGCGTTCACGTTCCCGCTGGGTAACAGCTGAATCCCCGAGCTGAGCTGGCTCCTCTGTGTCTGGCACTTTGGAAGGCTCTGGCCACTCCTGATGGGGGCCCCTTCTCTTCATCAAGTCTAGCACAGGCCATTCCTTGCTGAAGAAGCAGGGACTAATTTCTGGAGTAGGTTCTAGAATCTGCTTTTCTGTGGGACTGCTCAGAAGTAGTTGTACAGGAACGCAAGGGGAACAGAGGCTGAGAAAAACTCTTTCTAAACTTACAAGTGAACACATGGCCTTCCGTCCAGACCTCAAGGAAAGGTCAAAGACTGGTTGGTAATTTCTGGGCAGCCTTAATGATCAGCCGACTCTCAAGATTGCTACTTACATCCAAAGAAGAAAATAAATCGTTCCATTGTTATCAAATATTTAATGCACATTTGAAGGATACCAGATGTTAGAAACTCTACATTGAATAAGACAAAGTTCTTTCTCCTTTAGAACTTGAGGTTTAGTGGGGAAAAAACGTTTACCATAATCGCCAACTTCTTCATTAATGAGTAGAATTAAGGAAAACGAAGACCTACTATGCTCCCTCCTTGATGACACTCACTGTCATCAAGTTGATTCTGACTCAGACTCATAGTGACTATGCTCCTGAGAGATGGGTGAAACAGATACATCTGTGATTGCTCGATGTGAGGAAAACAGAAGATCCATTCACCCAAATCTTCTTGAAAATATAACTGGGTCTTCAAGGTCTGTCTTCAAATAAACAGCCATGTAAATGAAGCATCGACTAAGTCCATGTGGAGGCAGCAAATCAGCCTGCATTATCCAAAGATTGTAAATACTATAATCCAAATCTGACGGAGGAAGTAGTATCAGAGCTTAAACTTTGAACACCTGGTTTATAGAAGGCTACGGATGATGGTGGAAGGCCAAAGGTCCCCACAGGGATTGCCTCTGACCCTAGACCAGGATGTGAATAGCGTTGCTGTCATGAGAAGAGCATTGGAAAGATTATTGCACATGCAGCCAGTTTAAAATTTAGCACCTTATCTTTTTTTTTATTTAAACATTTTATTAGGGGCTCATACAACTGTTATCGCAATCCATACACACATCAATTGTGTAAAGCGCATATGTACATCATTCTCAAAACATTTTCTCTCCACTTAAACCCCCGACATTAGGTCCTCATTTTTCCCCTCCCTCCCCACTCCCCACTCCCTCATGAGCCCTTTTTGCTCTCTCTTTTGACCCATTTTACGTTTGTTTTAGTTTTTAGTGTTTTCGGCTTTCTTTTCACTTGAGGTTTTGATCTGTTTTACTTTGCTATTATTGTTAGTTTCTGCTGTTGTTGTTTTTGTTTGGTATGCTTCCCTGGATATGAAATCCAGGATAGGTAAATCTATAGAGACGGGATTTGGATTAATCTTTTCTTGGGGGCATGACAGGAGAGGTTTTGGGAGCAGGAATGGGGAGCTAATTACAATAAGGACAAGAAAAGGAAATATTCTAAAGTTGATTGCTGTGGTGATTGTACAACTTTTCTTTATGTTATCGAGCTATTGAATTGTATTATATGTGAATTATACATCAATAAAAAAGCTATTTTTTTAAAAGCATTTCTTGTGAGAAGAAGGGAAAGGTCAGTTTAGCATTTTGTTTGTTTGTTTGTTTGTTCCCTTTGTCTGAGACCTATGACTTGTCTATGGAACATTGAGAAACAATTGTCTATTTTGTGAGACTTCAGAGTCCTGGTGGAGTTGTGGATGAGCCACTAGCCTGCTCATTGCAACATCAGCCATTCAAAGCCACAGACGCTCAGCAGAAGAAAGATGACGCTGTGTGCTCCCAGAAGGATTTGCAATCTCAGAAGCCGAAGGAGCAGTTCTATTCCACCCTTTGGCTTTCCTATGAGTCACAATAGATGCTGATGGGGGGCTGGGTTTATTTGGAAAAGGTCACAAATAACCGCTTGTAGATACATGGAAACACAAGCAATACACTGAAAGCTAATGAAACAACGATAACGCCACTGCCAACCCCTCCTTGTTCTAAACAGCTTCCTCTGTTCCGACGGGAACCTCGGTCTCGGTTATCTCATGAAGGACCATCTGAGGGCCCCATTATGAACCCATTGATGAAATGTTAATGAAGTTTAACTACACTTGCTGAGAGGATGAAAACAAATGGCGATATTAACATCTTCTTTTCTCGCCCCATGGAATATCTCCTGACATTCCCAAGAGGGTGTCTCCCCACCAAGGAGTCCCCTGGCTTTGGGAAAGGTGTCTCAGCCCTTTGCAGGTTGTCCGTGGCCTGGCCCTGCCTCTCTGGTCTCCTTTCCAACTACATTGTGAGCTGTACTCACTCTTCTATGATGATGAATCAGTTCCTAGCTCTGCTCAGGTGGCCCTTGCACTCACTCAGTTGTTTCATGTCTTAGCTCACATGTTCCCTCTTTCTGATTTTGTTCCACTCCTTCGAAGTTCAGCTCACTGAAATAAACCTTCCCCACTCCAAGACTGAATTAAGGCCCACTGTTTTATATTCTGGTGACTCCTTTCATATTTCAGGACTTCATCACTGACTTTAACATATCATACACTTGTTTATTTGACTTCCCTTTAAGGGAAGCTTTTTGAAGACCAGGAGCCAAACATTGTTTTGTTTTTAAACTTGGTGCAAACCACAGCATCTCGCACCTACCACTCTTGTCCTGTGTCATTACATCGCTGCTGACCTCACCTTCCATAAAGGACAGAATAAGGCTTCCAAGACAATACATCTTTAGAGAGAAAAGTAGCCACCTCATTCTCCTGAAGTCTGGTGACTTTGAACTTGACACCTTTCAGTTAGCAGCTCAGTCACTGATCCCGGTGCCACCAGGAATCCTTATCTGCCACATCTGAAAATAAAAAAATGTATATAGATATATATACAGATAGATAGATGATATAGATATACATATACATATACATATAGATAGATTGTTGTCAAAGACTATTGCCTACTGCTTGTACTGTCAAACAATGAACAGATCTTTCTTGGAAGAAGTAGTCAGAATGCCCCTTAGAAGCTGGGATGGCAAAATTTTATCTCATGTACTTTGGACAGGTCGGCAGGAGGTACAACTGCCTGGAGAAGACATCAAGCTTGTAAAGTCGAGGGTCGGTGAAAGAGAGAAGACCCTCAATGAGGTGGACTGACCCAGGGGCTGCAGCAGCGGGCTCACACATCAGTCATTGTGTGATTGTGACCTGGCTATGTTTTATGTTGCACATAAGGTCACCGTGAATCAGAACCTCCTCACGAGCACCTCACGATAGCAAACACTTTTACTCAAAAGAACTTTTGGAATTGATGATGCTGATGCTGGTAAATGGTAGATATTTATTCCTGTGCTTCAATTTCAAAGTTTAAAAAAAATAACCCTGGTGGAATTCCCAAAGTGCCACATATTTTGACATTTTAGCTAAAAATCTCAGAACCACTGTTCTAGCATTTAAAAATAAAATAGAACTGGGGTGAGGAAATGAGTCTGTAAGGCAGCCAGTGTGGGGGTAGGTTGCAAGAGCAGTAGAGAAATGGAATACAGCCCGAGAACACTTGCCTTCGTTTCAGGGAGAGGCAGAGATACAGGTTCCAAACAGAGCTCTGCCCTCATCGGGGATGACCTTCGGCCACATACCTTGAATCCCTGGGACTGCCCATCAGGCTTGCTGATCTCTCATAGGCGGCAATGGGCCCAGATCTCCTCCAAAGACTTCCTGCTCTGTGTTTGTTGCTTTGTGTTTTTGCTGTCACCTCCTGAGGCTAAAGTTCGCCTGGGAGATGTCCTTAGGTATTTGTCATTCCATTCTTTCTGCAGACCCTGTCCTACAACAAATATAACCTCAAACCCCAATCGAGCGAGAAGCAGGCCAAGGAGATTCTGATCCGTCGCCAGAACACCTGGAGGGAGAGCGTGCGGAAAGGCCACAGTCTCCCATGGGGAAAGCCGGTACAGATTTGGACGGCTGTCTTGGGACATTCGTTTACTGAGCAAATGTTTACTACCTGATAACCGGGCTCGTTCCTGTACAGGGCCTCTTTGGGTGGACTACTCTTGAATGTATCATAAATGACCCTTGTTTCCAGAGAATCACACAAGTAAGAAGGTGCAACCTCCTTTTCCGGGTCTGGGCTTTCAGAACTTGAGGCCATGGAAGACTTGCTAGTGAACTGGATTTTAGAAGTGGCTTGGGGCCAGGACAGGCACGCTGGGCTGTGTCCAGGGACAGGCATTATGGCATTTAGACTGAACATTCTAGGAGAATATCCAGGGACCAGAGCATCTGTTTCTAAAGGGCTTATTTCTACTCTCAGGAAGATAATGAGGAGAAGCACCTTTTTGCCAAGACACCTGGGCCTCTTCTTCATCAAACCCTCTGTGTGCATGTGCTCTATTTAAAGCCACCTCCCACCAATACGACTAGGATTGCTATATGCAGACTGGTCTAGAGTAGACCCTAATCACTAAGCTCGTGAACGTCTGCTAGTATCTTTGAGAGACTCGTGAGAGTCCATTTTACTGTGGGCGAGCAAGGTTATTAACATCGAAGGCTGAAGCAGTGCAGAAAGCACTAATGCAAACACAATACTTCAGGATCAACCAATGTCCGTCACCTTATTTGCCATGTGAAACATTTAACTGTCGTAATTCTGCATTTTATCTCCGTTTGTTACTCACAGGCCGGAACCAAAAACATCCGCTACCTCTCCTTTCCATACAGTGATCTTCAACTTGCGAGGGGAGAGGCAAGGGCTGCGGAGTTCCCAGGTAATGCGCATGCGTCGTCCTCTTGTAGGCCGGGTTAGGAAATGTTTTCTACAAAGGATCAGGTAGGATGCTATGGATTATAGATCAGATGGTAAAAATCAAGGACAACGTGTAGGTACTAATAACAAGAAAAAAATGATGCAATTCAAACTTTATTATGGAATTTTAATGTATAACTTAAATTAATGATGAAATAGGACTCATCTTTAGAAGTTTTAGCCATTGAAAAATGCCACTGTGATTCTTAGGCCTTACAGAAAAAGGCAATGGATTCGATATGGCCCAAGGACCATAACTTTATTGACTCCTTTGATAGGATAACAGGGTCAATTCTTTGAAGTTGTAGAATTTATGTACAGTTTACATAGTACCCAAATTTTCCAAAGTGGATTAAGTTTTGCTAAAATATGTAATAAAGGCCTTGGTTAAATATTTTCCATTTAATAACTAATTCTTAAGTCAAATTATTGGTATTGAGAGTAATGAAAATGATTTTCTAATAACAGAGAGAGAGAGAGAGAGAGAGAAAATAGTGATTTCCATCAGCACCAGGGAAGGCATCCTGTGGGGCAGTGCTTATGAGTCAGAGGACTCACCGCCCAGTGGCTGTGCACAAGCACTGCTGCTCCCCGGGAGAAAGACAAGTGTTCTATTCCTGGAAAGCAGCGCTTCTCAACCTGTGGGTCGAGACCCCTTTGGGGGTCCAATGACCTTCTCACAAGGGTCATCGAAGACCATCAGAAAACACATTTCTGATGTCTCCTCTCCAAGCAGTCCGCCCACATGCAGATGCACCCACCTACAAGCACCCAGAGTGAAGACAAAATTTCATTGATTTGTCACTAGAAATCAATATCTCACAATATAGAATTGCATATTGTTTTTGTGATTCATCACTAGGCTTTCATTATGTTCAGTTTGTAACCATGAAAACACATCCTGCCTATCAGATATTTACATGATGATTCATAGCAATAGCAAAATTACAGTTATGGAGTAGCAATGAGACTAATTTTATGGCTGGGGGTTACCACCACATGAGGAACTGTATTACAGCGGCATCAGCAGGTTGAGAACCACTGCTGTCAAGGTTACCATCAGGGAAACCCACAACGGCAGTTCTACTGTCCTATGGGATCGGTAGGAGTTGGAATCCACTCGATGGTAGGGAGCTTGAGTTTGTCTTTGATTTTTTTTTTTAATATACCAGCAACAGGTAGTATACACACAAGCACACATACACCTTGGAGTTATTGGGATTTAATTCCAGACCACTATAATAAACAAAGATCATGCAACTGTGACTCACACAGATATTCTTGGTTTTCCCATGCATTGTAAAGGTTATGTTTACAGTATACTGTAGTGTGTTAAGGGTATCATAGTATTATGAAAAAATCTGAAATATTGTAAGAATTACCAAAATGTGACACAGAGACAAGACGTGAGTGCATGTTGTCAGAATATGGCACCAATGGACTAATTCAATAAAAAGGTGCCGGAAACTTTGAATATGTAAACATTTGTAAAACAGAATGCATTATCTGTGAAGGACAATAAGGCAAAGTTCAATGAAAGAAGTATACCTGTATATGTAAGTATGTATAGATATATATTTTTTAATGAATATATAAAATGTTATATTATCTATTTCAATTTCCTAGTATTTTTGAGATTTAAAATTATGTTGGAAATTCATACAAATTCAACTCAAAAACTGAAACCAAACTCAATGTCATTGAGTCCGTTCCAACTCATAACAACCCTATCAGACAGAGTAGAACTATCCCTCTGGTTTTCTGAGACTTGGCATCTTTTTTTTTTAATACTTTTATTGGGGGCTGTTACATCTCTTATCACAATCCATACATTCCTCCAATGTGTCAAGCACATTTGCACATATGCCGCGATCATCATTTTCAAAGTATTCCCTTCCCACTTGAGCCCCTGATATCAGCTCCCCATTTCTTCCCTCTCTTTCACAAACTCTTGATAAGTTATATATTATTATTTTCATATCTTACATCATCCTCCATCACCCCTCACCCACTTTTCCATTATTCGTCCCCCTGGGAGGGGGTTCTAAATTGATCCTTGTGATCGATTCCCCCATTCACCCCCACTCTCCCCTAATCCTCCTGGTATCTCTTCTCTCATTGTTGGCTCTGAGGGGTTTATCTATCCTAGATTCCCTGTGTTGTGGGCTCTCATCTGTAGCAGTGTGCATGCTCTGGTCTAATCTGATTTGTAAGGTAGAATTGAGGTCATGATAGTGGGGTGAAGGAAGCACCAAAGAACTAGAGGAAAGTTGTGTGTTTCATCGGTGCTATACGGCACCCTGACTGGCTCATTTCTTCCCTCTGATCCCTCTGTAAGGGGATGTCCAATTGTCTACAGATGGGCATTGGGTCTCTACTCCATGCCCCCCGCCCCCCATTCACCTTGGGTATGGTTTTGTTCTGGGTCTTAGATGCCTGATACCTGATCCCATCAACACCTCATGATCACACAGGCTGGTGTGTTTCTTCCATGTGGGCTTTGTTGCTTCTGAGCTAAATGGCCGCTTGTTTATCTTCAAGCTTTTAAGACCCCAGATGCTATATCTTTTGATAGCAGGGCACCATCAGTTTTCTTCACATTTGCTTATGCACCCATTTTGTCTTCAGTGATTGTATCAGGAAGGTGAGCATCACAGAATACCAGATTGTTAGAACAAAGGGTTCTTGTGTTACGGAAGTACTTGAGTAAAGGCCCAATGTCCATCTGCAACATTAATTCTTAACATATAGATATGAGTACATAGTTCTATTCTCCTCTCATTATATATACATTTGTATATGTACATGCCTGTATTTAGGTCTCTATTAATGTCCTTTTCCTCCTGGTTCTTTCTTCTATTTCCTTTTAACTTCCCTCCTTTACCACCATCATTTTCGCCCTTCATTCGGGTTTTGTAATTCCTCGCTGCTACACTGCCCTTGATTAAGCCACACTGGGGATCCTACGACCTTCCTTCCATTGATTTTAGTTCACTTGTTATTCCCTTGTCCCTGGGTTGGTTCCTCCCTGCCACTTTCTTGGGGCTTGGTGGGCCAGGATGTCCACTCCCCCCTCTCCACCCTTTTGCCTTTCACCCGTGTGCTCTAATCAGATGTGCCCCTCTCCCCAAGCTGTAGCCCCAGTGCTGTCCTCTGAAATTCATTCTTCTTAGGGGTTGGGAGTCGGGGTGGGGGGAGGGTGTCCACATAGAGACTTTAAATCTTTATGAGAGCTGATGGCTTCATATATCTCCTGTGGAGTGGTGGGTGGGTGCAAACCACTGACCTTGGACATAACAGCCCACTACATCAGCAGAGCTTTAAGATAAACTAAATGTATAGAATTAAATCTTTGAAGGCTGAACATATTTTTTTCTTTTAAATAAAGCTTTACTTTTTCTAATTTAAAAATATACTTGATGTAAAATAAAAACTAAGTAATGGGGGAAAGTATAAAAAGGAGCACTAAAAGTACTTAAAGCCACAACAGATATAATCACTATAAATATGTTGGCAAACATTCTTCTGTAATTGTGGGCATCATCCCTACCCTACTGGATACCGAAAATTCACAGAAGCACAAGCATCATCTTATATGTAGCGTAGTATAACTTGCTGTTTTGTGATTTTATAAGTTGCCTATTTCATTCAATTGTATATTGTGTACATATTTTCATGTCAATAAATATGCAGTGAGTAATCATTGTTGTAAGTGCTGATCAAATTAGCTCCACCTCATGATTAGTTTCTGTATGCGTATGAAATGTTCCCCAGTCCTGTGTCATATAGCTTACTGAATAACATTTATATAGTAGTACCACAACTTATTTAACCAATTCTTTATTAATAAATATTTAAAGTATTTTTAATTTCTAACAAATATAAAGCAATGATATTTAACAATCAATCTTACTTGTGACTAATCATTATACTAATAACCAATTAATTCCTAGTATATTGGAAGTGACCTTTGTAGGTTATTATAATATATATATATATTTATATATAGTTGTAATGTTTTCAGAAGACATTTGAGTTACTCAATGTCTTCTGAAAACATTACATCAATAATTTATCCCCTCATCAATAATCTATGAGAATTCTCATTTCCCAGAACCTTTACCATCACTGGATTGTTTAAAACTCTTAAAACTCTTAAAATGACTTATTGTAGGATATGAGAATTTGTACACTATATTCAATTTTCATACAAATCACTGATTTTTAGTGAGCTTAAATGTATTTTTGTATTATTATAGACGACTGTATTTCTTTCAGGGAAGTTTCTGTTTGGGCCTCAATATATTTTTTGGTCTTGTTTTCTATTTGCTGGTTTTTATTAAGCTAATTTGAAGACTTCTTTATATTATTGAAAGACCCATTATTCCATATTTGTTGCTAATGAGTTTTCCTCAGGCTTCACACTTATCTTTTAGCTTTTATATATCTTTTTCCATTTATAGATTTTCATTCATTCTGATTAATGAAGCCTTTTATAGAATAACTAAATATAATTCACCTATATGCATGGATTAATTTTCATATTTATATTTCAATGGTTCTGAAGCTTATCTTTGTATAATAATTATGAAAAACAACATTTCACATATATGTAAGTATATATATTT